TACCATTATAGAAAAAAACAAACCATTTGGTTGAGATATATTCAATAAAATAAGAGTTATCCAACATGCAAAATCAATAATCAGCACTTGTTGACACAGTACTGAATTAGGAATATGCACACACCTCAGCAGCTTTATAAAGCTCAGATCAGACCTATTTTGCAGTATTGCTCACAGCAATAGGAAACAGAACTCGCTTGGGGCCAGATCTAGTGAGAGAGGCGGAAAGTCAAGCAGTTCAAACCGCTGAGGTGTGAGACAGTGCGTTGCCTTGGTGGAACAGATTTTTTTTCTGAAAATGTTGCCATTTTTTCGCAGGTTCTGCCTTCAGCTTGACAAGTTATGATGTGTAGTATGCTCCTGTAATGGTTTTTCAAATATCTCCATGGCTATCCCAAAAACAGTCGTCTACAATTTCCTAGCCGAAAAAACAGTTTTTGCTTTTTTGGAGCCGGTTCCTCATTTGCAGTCCACTATTTGGACCTGCATTTTTGTTTCGAGTATATAATGGTGTATCCAAGTTTCATCTTCGGTAATTAATCGGTGCCAAATCTCGGATTCATTGCCTCTAAACTGCGCCAACAGAGCCTTGGAAATATTCATCCGAACACGTTTTTGGCTTTACGTGAGCAATCGTAGTTTTCTCATGCTTAAATGTTGATTCAATAAGTAACAAAGACATTTTTTGGCATGTTCATAACCTCTGATATCTATCTCACTTAAATTCGGTGATCTAGCACTATTTGGTGAACTTTAGCGATGTTTTGGTCGGTAGCAGCAGTTTTTCGACGTCCCGAACGCTCATCGTGTGCCAAGCTTATACGGCCACGTTTAAATTCAGCTGCCCAAAATTTCACTGTGGTACTCGTCCCTTTACTGGCACTTGTCTAAAAAAATGCCATAAAATTATTTTGATAGATTCACCCATTTAATAAAGGATCAACAATCGTATTTCAGTTGAAAAAAAAAAGATTTACCCCCTCCCATCAGTTTTTAGGACATGTACCTCCAGAACGACAAATCCAGTTTACGCATTTATACTAAAATACTGTTTTTATTGTAAAGAAAGATTTTATTGTTCAGAACAGTTGGGAATTGAGTAACTATCGACTATGAAATTTTTTGAAACAGTTTCTGTCTTTCAGCAAACATATATGCACTTGGCACTTATTACAGTGAACACGTGTTCTTTCCTTGCACCCTTCCAATTCACATCTTGAGTTATATTTGTTTTTATCATATTCCGCAATATGTTGATATTCATCATATCTAGAATACTTCAGATGTCTAGACTCATATCTGTTTCTTTGAGGTCTAGTTTCAAGGTCATCATTGGGAAGTTCCGTTGAAGGCCTGTCTCTTTTCGGGGGTGTTTTAGTAAGTATAAGATGTTCAGCCACAGACTGGCGGGAGGCTAGTAAATCTAGGCTCTTTTGTTGTGGAAGACACAAATTTGAAGCTTCATTTCGATATTCCAACCATGAGTTTGTTAATGCCAGATCTATGGCGTGGAAAATGAGCCGTATTGTCCATTTTCTTGATCGAACGTAAGAGCGGTAGATACTCAACGGAAAATCATGTTTATCCACACCTCCCATACTGCTGTTGTACCTCCTTACCGCTTGTGGCCTAGGCACTTCATCATATTCCTATTTCGTTTTATCCCATCTCCTATAGAGGTCTTGCTCTCCAATACCAACAAAATGTGTGGCCAGGATGACCGATTCATTGTCGTACCACTTCGTAATTACTATGCCATCCTTACTGATGCATTCAGCATCCTCTCCCTTTCATTTTCATATCCTTATCATTTGGCAAATTTTGAGGACGGAAACGGTTCCATCTTATTATTCCCACTGCAAATATTGACTTTGACCAAAGGTACTGAAACAAGTTATAAGAACTGAAGTAGGTAGTTGTCAAAAAATAAAGCGTGATTAGGTTCGGTAATTCGATCAGAAAGCTGCATAACTGTAGCAGCTGATGCACCAAAGTGCATATAAAGTGGGTTCATTTCTGTGGTTGATCCTTGGTAAATGAAGAAATCATAAATCATACCACTTTATCCAGACAACACGTATAGTTTCACTCCCCACCACTTCTTAGGTTTGTTTTTGATATATTGTTTGATATTCAACCGGCCTTTCAGATGAGTTATTTCGATTATGCCATTTGACAAATCTGGTTTGATATTGTACATGAGCCACCCACACAATATCTCCTTTTTTGGTTAGATTGTGCTGGTTATAAAAATTTTCAACATAATCAGCTTCATTTACATTGGGTCCCGCCGTGAGCGGCACAGATTCTGCCGTTGAGGGCACTGGTCCTGGTCTTGCCGTTGACAGGCTTGGCTCCACTGTAGACGGTGATGGTCCCACCATTGATGGCCCCGCTACTCCATCCAAGCCACCATCACTTTGTCAATCGGCTTCACTCCCACTCTCCGGATCATCAACAGGTCCTCCTTCATCCATAATGTCAGCATGCTGACTTTCCGACTCATCCCATCCCAAATCATCGTCAGATAAAACGGCGATATCTGATAAATCGTAATTTTCCAAAAACAGCAGTAATTCCTCTTCTGTGAGAGCCTTTTGTTATCGATATGACATTTTCTGAAACAAAGAGAGTATTTATCCATTCTGAATATCATCTAGACGAATTTCTACCAAAAACTATTTCTGTCCAAAGTGCATTTGTCGTTGTGCAGGTACATGGTTTTTGCAATATATTTTCTAGGGCGTATAAGAAACTTTCAGTTACCAACAGAATTCTATTACAAAATGTAGAATTTATACATACCGAGAAAAACAGAGTAAAGCAGATAATCACAATTCCACTAAATGAGAATAAATAATCACGTGATACTAGTCACACACACTCGCTACAACGTCATGACATGACAACACATGATTGAATTCATAACTTCTAACAACGATCGTAGAGCGCGCTACTTGTATAAGTTGAACGTTGTGGGTGTACCCTACACGGTACAAAAGCAGCAACGTCGTTCGTCTTTAATATTTTGTGATTTTATGCTGTAGAAGCTGATGTACCTGGGTAGGTACAATTCCAGTGAAAGCGTTTGATGTTGCTTATACACCATACAAAGTCACCATACACAGAATCCAATTCATCTTTGATTCGTGTAGGCGAATTGCCTTTTAAAAACAAATATTTAATGATAGACCGATTCTCGATTTTGTCGACTTCCTTAAAAACATTCACGTCAACTAACTCAAACGACTGTTACATAACAACTGCGCGTCTATAATGGCTAAAACTTTGGTGAGTAACTGTCAACATATGGACAACGACATTCACTAGCTTTTATTGACGAGTACTGCTGAAACTTTGCAGGTCACCCTCGCACCGAAAGTTTTTATCAAACATGACTCAAGGTGTCGTAGTCACCACTGTAATAACGTACTGGCCTCACCACTGCAACAGCTAGATTTATTCTTATTTATTGGTCAACCTTTGAAAACCCTCTCGCTAATGCCGTGATTGTTTTGTCAAATTAAATTTGGCAGTTGCTGTTATCAGATGGGGATTTCTCCACATCAAATTTCGGATGCTGAATAATTCCGAAAGGGGCTTGAATTTGACCTCCTGCACGAAGAGGAGGTCTTTGATTGCAGTTCAGGAAGATCTTCAGAATTCGCAAACACTGGTTACTTCGCTAGATTTTTGAATGGAAGCCAGTCCCAAACCTTGAAAGATACTATATTCAATAGAAAAAAAAAGAAAAAATGATACAACGAAATAGACAAAGAAAAACTCTAAAAAGAAATAACAATAACCAAATCTCGAATATAACTAAAATTTATTTTTTCGCCGTGAAGTTCTATGATATAGGAGAGTGTCTGTAATAAGCTAGCTTGGCCAATAATTTCTAACCAATACTACAACCCAATCATTTCAACCACTCCAAAAACTCTAAAAAGAAATAACAATAACCAAATCTCGAATATAACTAAAATTTATTCTTTCGCCGTGAATTTCTATGATATAGGAGAGTGTCTGTAATACGCTAGCTTGGCCAATAATTTCTAACCAATACTACAACCCAATCATTTCAACCACTCTGTATACTGATTCTTATGGCTAACTCTTTCCCAAAAATGTATAAAAAAAATTATTCCACATGTATATTCAACTCACAGCGGTTTGTCTATGTCGTCCCGGCTAATCCTGTAGGTTGTCCTAAAAAATATATCGTAGCAAAACTTCACCTCAATTATAACTCGTTTATACAGAGTTTCGGCCTACTGAATTATTATCTTTTTTAATTTACGCACTACATTGCTCGATTTTGGTCGAATCTTACACACTTCTTTATTCTTACGACAGAATCGAGAAATATTCAAAATTACTCCACCCGCCTATTTTCAAATATTAAACTTTTCAAAGTCCAGAAAGACTTCCTTCTGAAACATTTCCGCACGACTAACTTCTGAAGCCAGTTAGAAATTCCCACATTTCCGGCATGTGGCCACGCCTTAGTAAGATGGTCGCTGATTTTTCCATATCAAGCCCTATTTCGCTCAGCTAAGCTGTTTACAGATACAAGGCCTGAACGTTGATGTACTTCTGTCTGCCCGTTTGGTTGAATTCCGATAAGTAAAAATTTCTCATGACGGTGCGTCTGGCCAAGGAACAAGCAGATACATTTCTAATAAACACTCTCACAGTCTGCCTGAAATGTTACATTGTATGAGGCACAGGACCGTCGTTTAATTTCTGAACTGAGAATGACTCTTTCTATTTCCGAAGCTAGGAAATACTAACATACCTAGTTTTTGTTAGTTATTACATTGTTCCTCCTACGTGAAAAGTTAGATGTGATATTTATTGAGTTCATGATTAGGTTTTGGTAGATGAACACTGTATATATGTTGATAAAATGTGATAGTAATAAGGTACTTTTTCAATTGTCTCCTGTAACTCCATGAAAACGACCAACAAATCATTTTCATAATCATTTTCCATTTCAGGAATGTCTTCTTTTGAGATATTTCCCGAATTCCACGACGCTGTTGGAAACCCAACCCACCCAGTCATATCCCCCCTCTCAGGAATACTAGGGTTCGAAGGGAAACTATCTTTCATGGACAGAGTTCAAAGTGTCCTATTCAACTTCTGGTATAGGACTGTATACTACTGGTACATCCTTCCAGAAGCAGACAGGACTGTGAGAAAGTACTTAGGAAACAAAGTTCCTTACCTGGGAGATGTAATTGGAAACACGAGCATCTTCTTGGTCAACGGCAACTGCATCGTCCACAATGTCAGAGCCAACGTTCCGAATGTGATTCAAGTCAGTCAGATGCATATAAAAGAAAAGAAGCCGCTTCCTAAGGTGAGTTAAGATTTGAAATAATATACGAAGTCAGGCTATACTACAAGGTCAGTGTTGCTAAGTCATATCCATGCTCAGCAGGAAATTTTGTGTCTGAAAAACAGTAGATTGATAAAAAAACCAGTAGAAAATATGTTTTATAGATGTAGTGGACTGTTGAAAAAATAAGGGAAATGTTCAAATTCCGTAGGCTACGTACATATGATTATCTTCAAAACACATATCATATCATGATATGTGTTTATCATGCAAAAACACGTCGATTTGTATTTCCGCTACCTAACTTTCTATTTTAGCACCCTCTTGCGGGGAAAAATCTGTTCCGTATTCCAAATTATGATACTTCATTTGCAAGTTAATTTGACATAAATTCGGTGAAAATGCATTTTGGAATGTTTCTAAGAGAAAAAACAAAATGACGGCTCCACAATGACGGAAAAGATTTACAATTATGGTCCGATTTGATTCAAAACTGACAAGTGGTGGTTTTCAGGGTCAAAATTTGAAATTATGGTTCGATTCGATCCGGCACCGAAAATGAATTCTTTAAAAAACATGTGTTGAGGTTATGATAGAAAGATGTCACCCTTGGATTATGAATCGACGTGCTTTGGCGTTTTCTTTTTTCAGAAACATGTGTTTTGAAGATATTTGTTTTGTTTCGTTTTCGGTGCCCCACCCAGTATGTTCACAGTTCCAGCTGTTCAGCATGTTCAGTTTGTTGGAAGGCATAAAGGTAAAAGTGTTTTGCCCGTGTTCGGCGATTTTCTGCCATCGAAAAAATGGATCAAAGAATATGCACCAAATGTTTATGTAAAAAACGCTCAAAAACACTTGAGATGTTGACAGTGGCATACGGTGATTGTACTCCGAGTCGAAAAAATGTTTACGCGTGGTACAAGCTTTTCACAGAAGGTTGAGAAGATGTGAACGACGACGCTTGTCCTGAACGCCCCAACGCAACCGATGGAAATATTGAGGAAGGAAAAAATTTGTTATGAAGAATCGTCGAATCACTATCAGAAAAGTTGTTGAGGATGTCGGCATATCGGTTGGCTCGTGCTATGCAATATTTTTGGAAATTTGGGCATGAAGCCTGTGGCAGTAAAATTCGTTCAAAAATTGCTGAGTATTAATTTTGTGTAGTTTTCAGTACTCTCGTTTTTTCCAAACAAGCTCGGCTTGTTTCGTATGGTTCAAGTACCATTGACTTAAAATACCATCATATTCAGTTTCAGCGCCTACGCCTTTTCGTAGGTTCGTATAGCCAGCATTATTGTTATCATTGTTATTTTAAACCTCACTAAAATTTGGTTCTGGAGCAGTCTAAGATCCCACTCCTAAATGTACATCTCTAACTTTCAAATTATATGGATCCTAGTTCCTTCAAATTGGTAATCCTGTTGAATACTACATGATTGATTTGCATGGGTTTCTGTTGAACCATTCACTCTTGTGTCATATCGTTATAATATTCAGGACCTTCTCCGTATGCATAGTCCAGTACTTTTTTTTGGTCCCTTGGGAGCTGTCTGACTTGTCCATTTAGTCCAAGCCTGCAGAAAACACTGCAGCGTCTTGGGCTTATTGCGTTTATTCTCCCATCTTCTCATGACACCCATTCCATCAGTTTCGTTCCCTGTACTAGTTTGTACAGGTTCCGTGTTTGATGTTCGTCATATTCTTCTGGACGTTATTTCGTACGTTCATATATTGCCTGCCTCCTGTGATTCAGTGCTCCACATTCGCATAAGATGTGTAGAGCTGTTTCTATCCCTTCGTTGCATAATCTGCAGCTGAGGTCTCCGTTCTACAACCCCATTTAATTTAGGTGTCCTCTAAGCGGACAATGATCGGTTAGTAACCCTGTAATTATTCTGAGCCGATCCCTACCATATTGAAGTAGTTCTTCGGTTCTTTTCTCGGACTGTTCCCTAATGAAGGTTCTACTGTGTTTGTTGCCAGGTACTTTTGTCCAGTACTCTGTGCGCTTCTCATTGGTCCATGTCCTAATCTGGTTTCGTACCCATGATTTTGGTACTCCCAGAGCTGGTTCAGGACCTATATATGAAGTTGATAATCCGTGTCTAGCGTATTCATCAGCTTTTTCATTACCTGTGATTCCTGAACGCCCTGGCACCCAATACAAAGTTGATTTGTTCCAGTTTGCACGTTCATCCGGTTTTTCATGGCATTCCCAGACCAGTTTTGTCACCTTCGGGTTTGTTAGAGCCCCTAGTGCGCTCTTGCTGTCTGTTAAAATATTGATCTGCTCATTTCTTTGAGGTTTAAATTAATTAAGCCTCGCACACTGCAATATAGCATATACTTTCGCCTGAAAGACGGATGTGTATAGTATTAGCGAATAACTGTCGTTTAAATTTCAATCTGCTCGGTATATTCCCGCTCCCGTTCCATGTTTGGTCTTCGATCCATCTGTATACCAGGTGTTTTTTCCAAACATGTTTTCGGGATGACTGATGGTCTTCCATTCTTCACGGCTTATGATTTTGGCCGTGAAATTTGTGTTAAAGGTGTACTTCGGTGTCATGTGGTCCGGGCACATATTCAATATGTGCTCCTCCACATGTTTCGAAATTTCTGTTCTGTCCGATCTTCTGTAGTTCGATGAGTTTGCCAGTCTGAATTGGCCCATCCTGGCCTCCCCCATTATCACAAAGTGTAAAGGAGGTTTATTCAGGAGTGTCTCCAATGCATCTGTTGGTGTAGTTCTCATTGCTCCCGTCATTCCCAAACATGCAAGTCTTTGCACCTTGCCTAGTTTGTTGATAGCGGTCACCTGCTTCATCTTTGGCCACCAGACCAGAGATGCGTATGTTATCATGGGTATAACCACCATCATGTATAGCCAATATATCATGTCTGGTTTTAGCCCCCATGTTTTTCCATAGGTGTGTCTGGCGAGCATCAGTGATACCTTCGCTTTCCTTTTTATCCTGTCCAAGTGTTGGTTCCAGGTCAGTTTGGAATATAGAATTACTCCCAGATATTTAACCTCCCCCTACACTTGTATTTCTTCACCTCGAAGTTTTAGAGGTCCGAGACCCTCCGTTTTAGTCCAGTACTAAGTATTTTCAAGTCGACACTTAATGGTGGTCCTCCTTCTGTTGTGTTCTGTGTCTGCAGATCTCCTGTCACTGTTCCATTCCATCTCGATTTCATTTCTTCATATATTTTCAACAGTTGATTCTCATTTCTCATGCAATTCAGTTCAAATCTCTCTCATTAGAATTCGTTTCCATGTGGCGTTTTGTGATTTTGATATCAATTGGTGGATATATAGGCTCTAAGCCTCCCATACCTCAATCATTTATAGCTAGGATGTTATAAACTTCCATCATTTACGGAATTGAAAAAAAATGCATTAGTATCAACATGTCATTATGACCATTTATTCATTGGTAACATGTGACTTTTTTTTCTGTGTTACAAAATATTTTCTTCTCCATGTAAGTATTTTATACTTCATTGTATCAACTATTGTTATGTTGTTCTAATTTTATTGTAGCATTTTCAAATAATTATCAGCGACATTACTGTCGTTGCGCTATTTCAACCTTATTGGAGCTTTCCTGCAGGGGCAGCCGGTTCCTTGCCTTTATTCAAGGCGGAACTCTTGGCTCCCACTGCAGGAAGTGCCCTTGCTGTTGGAGGTGGAATGGGGGAGGAGGAAGGTGCACTTGTAGTTGCTGCCATTTCTGCCTTTTTCGCTTTCTTTCTCCTTTTGGCCTCGGCGCCGCAAATGCGCTCACGCCTTGGTCTTTGTATTACATCACGAGGTGATCTGCTTTGTCCAGCCTCATACCAAGCGGTAGATTGGGGTGGACATTTCTCTTCATCCCCAGCCACCGCCATAGATTGAGGTGAGCACTCTTGTCCAGCCTCGAAATTGATTTTTGTTTTTGTTGTTTTTGTTTTTGTGTTTGTTTTATTCATGTGTATTCCCACGAGTAGCAAGGGAAGAGTTGATCACCTCTGGAAGAGCCTAGTTCCCTAAGGGGAGTGTTCGTAACCGCATATCACCCTGGGGCTATTCAGTTGTCGGCACGATTCTTTACACCTTAGCTTGGATAGGCTGGTCCACGGTGGCATGTTTTGCAAAGGATTTTGGGAAGTTTTAGTTCCCCTCACTCTACTTACTGCTGCCACTGACCAGGATTCCGGCAACCCTGTCTGTGAGGCCACATTGGCTTCCCGGATAGGACCTCCAGTTCCCTGGCTGTTTCCCTATCCACCACCTGGGGACGCGCCCGATAGGTAGCCCAACCCACAGGATTGGTCATGGCTATTAAATACTTGGAGGAAACTCATTAATCCTGTCATGTAGAACACTCGAAATTATGTCACATATAATTTAGTTTTGAATGGATATGGACAAAAACATTTTCTAGGTATGTTGTGACCAGATGATACATAAGGATACAAGGATGGTAGATACCGATCTACATATAGAAAAAAAATTCCTGATGCCAGTAATGGAATATTTGCATGTGTTGTTGAATGCTTGATCCGTCAATGGTGATTTGGCAAAACATATTGAATAAATGACAACTAATTTGACAGATGTAGGATCGCCGACAACAATATGTAGCTTCAACAAACGGACGAAAATTGACGCGTTCAGTAGATAGTGTCGTTTGAAAATTTTCATTGTAGTCATTTTGTCAATTAATTTTTAAAATTTTTGAGCTCGAAGAAGCGAGAATTTATTAGGATGACCCGCATGGTCAACCGTTTTTGGACTCATTTTACTCATTTTATTTATCTTTTATCCATAGGTACAAATTACAAATTATTAATTAAAGAATGTATTGCCACTGAATGCTTGATCAAATCAAAAATTGATTTTAAATGGATATTCGCAATCAGGGCTTTCTGATATATCCATAACGAAAGTATTATTTTTGATTGGCGTGAAGTTGACCACAGATTTCTAGCCACATATGCTGACATAGAGGGAAATAAAAATCTGTGGTTGGGATACGAAATTATTAGCACCCGCACTAATATCTGTGGCTGGAAATACCTATCACTATAGGTTGAACGAGGAATTATTAAGTCTATTTGGTGTATAACTTTTTATGGAATCTTGAGTAAATTGACGCGTTGATAACCATTTTCTCATTAACAATACAGATTTAGGGAAGAATAATATTGGAAATATCAGACTTACTTTCCAATACCCCATGTAGAAATGATACCCGATGATGTGCGTTCATCAAAATCATACAACTTCCATAGTTTCTTGGGTAGATCAACATAATGACAACCGTTTTCTCGTTACCTATACAGATTTCGAGAATAAAATTGTTGGAATGATCAAACTAACTTTTTAAACCCATTGTAGAAATGGAACCAGATGACGTGCGTGCATAAAAATCGAACAAGTCTCATGGAATCTCGGGTAGATTAATGTAATGATAATAGTTATCTTGTCACCCTTACAGATTTCCAGGAAAAAATGTTGAAACAATCGGACTCACTTTTTAAAACACCTTGTGGAATTGGAACCAGATTATGTGCGTTCATGAAAATCACACAACTCTTATTGAATTTCGGGTAGATTAACATAGTGAAAACCGTTTTCTTGTCACCCATACAGATTTCCATAAAAAAATGTTGCAACAATCAGACTAACTTTTTCAAACCCCTTGTAGAACTGGAACCAGATGATGTGCGTGCATGACAATCGAAAGAATCTTATGGAATCTCGGGTAGATAGAGGTAGTGATAACAGTTATCTTGTCACACACACAGATTTCCAGGAAAAACTGTTGTTACAATCAGACTCACTTTTTAAAACACCTTGTAGAATTGGAACCAGGAGTAGTGCGTTCATGAAAATCACACAACTCTTATAGAACCTTGGGTAGATTAACATAGTGAAAACCGTTTTCTTTTCACCCATACAGATTTCGAAAAAAAATTGTTGCAACAATCAGACTAACATTTTGAAACGCCTTGTAGAATTGGAACCAGATGATGTGCGTGCATAAAAATCGAAAAAGTCGTATGGAATCTTGGGTAGATTAACATAGTGATATTAATTTTCTTGTCACCCAAACGGATTTCGAAAAAAAATTGTTGAAACTATCAGACTCATTTTTTGAGATTCGTTGTAGAATTGGAACCAGATGATGTGCGTTCATGAAAATCACACAACTCCTACCAAATCTTGGGTAGATCAACGTAATGTGAACTGTTATTTTGTCACCGAAACAGATTCCTGGAAAAAATTATTGAAAATGTCAGATTTATACTTTCCAATACCCCTCGTAGAATTCAAACCCGATGGTTTGCGTTCATCAGAATCTCACAACTTCTTAAGTAGATCAATGTTGTTGAATTTGTTTTCTTTCTTTCATCCATACAGATTTCGAAAAAATTATTTTTTAAATTGAAATACGAATGAATATTGAGTATTGCTTCCCTTCCAGTTTGAAGATATTGTGGCAAATTGAAGAATTACCTGTTTTAAACAAATTAATTTCCAACAATATTTCACCTGATGACAAACTAATTTATTTACAACACTTAGCAACTAACGCTTAATTTATTTCCATTATTTAAATTTCCTGTTTAGCCGCACGATTCACTTTCTGAACTGCCCTCTTGGGTCGGGAAACCGGGCTTATATAATGTAACGGTTTGATGTCATGTGTTACCCTCTCCTGAATCCGTCTCTGTCTACACCCATTGTGAACGCGAGACCGACCCCTATTCTAGAATGATATGCTAACATTGGAAGGTTTTTATTTGGAAACCTGATAATTTTCATAAAACTCATACAATTAGATTTCAGATGTAATCATTTATTGGCAATTTTTCCGAAGTGACTTATACGTCAACCACATTCAGCTCAATTTCATGACCTATTGTATGATATAACGCGCCTAGACTTCTCCTCGTACAATAAGAAGTTTTCATTGATTTCATAGGATCTACAAGATTATCTCGACTCTGCGACAGAAGGTGTGATCTACTTGAGCCTTGGTACAAACATCATCAGTGCCAATATGTCAACCAGAATAAGAGACGTTATAATTCAGGCTCTATCTGAACTTCCCTATAAAGTTCTTTGGAAATGGGAAACTGATTATTTGCCTGGTCAACCAGATAACGTGATGACGAAGAAATGGATTCCCCAGCAAGATGTACTTGGTAAGTGAACTAGTGATGTATGAATGGGAAACTAGAGTTAATGAAGAAATGTCTTCCTGATATATTTCCAATCGTGGAAATAGTTTTCGGTAGTACTGAAATTCTACAAGTGAAATGATTTTGCGCTGTTTAAAAATTATCTTTGATTTTGCCGTGTTTGAATAAAGGGTGGAAGTGGAATCTTTGACGTAGGATGCATCCGAAACGAGTACTTTTCCTAACGCAATACTCCCTACACATCAAACCATTTCTGGTGATTGGGAAAAGTGCTTACTTTGGAAAAACCGTGTTTCACAAATAATTGGAATAATGGCTGAATTCATACATAGAAAATCACAAACAACAGGAATTGGAATTTCAGGGCTAGGTTTTGAGGTCTTCAATGGACATAGAATCGTTCAAGTTATAATTCTAAAAATTTTAGAGGCCGACTATCGCTGCCAATAACACAAAGTGACGTTTTTTTTTCGATTTTACAGGAGAGCATTTTGAACATTTTCAAGAGATTCGAATTGTTGCTGATAAAAAGGTATTACATAATTGAATTTTTTGGTTCATCACTTTACAACTGAGACAGAAAGATAATCAAAACAGTATTTGGACTTCAATTTTGAAATGTCGACTTCAATTCTGAAATTTTGAATCGAAATTACAACACTACAGTTGAAATTTTGAGTTTAAAGTCGTAACTGATACCAAACAAACCTTTTGTCCTAATTGTAACGAAGTGAAATATGATGTCATACGGTCGTAAAAATAACCAATTCGTTTATCTCAAGCAATGAGCGGGCACACTCCATTAAGAATAACTGAATTTCAGTACCGAGGCATCATATTTGACGAAACATTCATATTCATCTTCCTCATAAGCTCTACCATATCTATCGATTACGTAACTCTTGGTTGTGTGAGAGTAAAATTAACTTTGTTCTTCTGAATGTGCTTGTCAGATCAAAATTTGAATCAAAAACTTAAACTTGTATACTACGTCCAATCCATTTGTCAGGAAAAGTTTCATCTAGATATACCCGTACTACACTTCCAAAATGTGGAGGAGCCCCATTTTGTTGAAACCATATATTTGTTCTGCCGGCAAATTGAGATTGTTGTTATTCGGGAATAATCGTCTAAGCCCTGGAATAATATGCTGTTGTGAAAGTAATAAATATCGTTCAGAGGTGCAATTTGCGTTTATAAAATAGGGTCCTATGACGTGTCCACCAATAACGTCACACCAGATCTTTCTGACTGATCCTGTATACTTAATTGTCATTCAGTGTGATATATTCTGAAAAACCCTAAAACTTTTGTATCTTAACATTTCTCGCTAACTATCTCACTTCCATACATCTCAGCGACCCTGTATGTATGAGTTTTTTCGTTTGTATTCTTCCCATCATTGTTTTTTGGACTTGTTTTTGTGTCTTTCAAATTTCGTTTTCCTATTCTGTAATCGGTTTTATCTGGAGAGTGTAGTATATATAATAAAAAAAGTTGAATACGATCTCTGAGAGTTGCGTTATAATTCTAGGTCATCCTAACGTCAGAGCTTTCATCACTCAAGGAGGTCTTCAGTCTATAGAAGAAGCCATCCGTAATGAAGTACCAATGGTTGGACTGCCTTTCATGAGTGATCAACCAAACAATGTGAAAAAACTCGAAGATTTCGGAATAGCAATTGGAGTAGATCACAAAACAATGACGAAGAATCAACTGAAAACGGCTATTCTCAAGGTAGCAGAGAACAAGAGGTACGTACGCGGTTGTGAATGATCGATAACGAATATTAAAAATGCTTTAAACCATACAAATTTCGGAAAAATACTATTCAAATTCTCAGAATCTATCAGTGTGGCCAACCAGAGCGAAATTCCGCTGCCGTAGAGGAACTTGACTTTCTTCGGTGGCGTTAGAAAGACTCAAGCGAATGTATTGGAAATTCAGTAATTTCTTTGTGACAGCAGCGGCTCGTCGGAGGAGGCAAGGAAGGCTTAGCCTCCCCATAAAATTTGAGGCTATTCATCGCAATAAATTAAAAGATATTGACAAACAATTATGATTATTTTTTTCTAAAAATGCTTGGTTATTATTACTTTACTATTAATTTTTAATATAAATACATAGTATGCCCGAAAAAACACTATCACCCACTACGTAGTACGTACCACACTGTATCCTGCATCAACGAAACTCAAACGCACCGCCCATGGACGAATAACGAATAAACTATCAACCCGAAATAATAAATGCCATACGTTGCAAGGGAGCCAAGCCTCCGACCGCTTTAAAAAATACGAGATCGATCCAACCAGAGACATACATCCCGATTTGTAATTTCAGTTGCAGAAATCATAGCGTTAGAGGAGGCTAGCTTCCAGTTGGTATCTGTTAGTGTACGACTGCGTTTGTTTTTTATTTAATTAATCGGACGTGGAGACGATGAAACCAAAGATTCGATTAATCACGGCAATTACAAGGAACTTTTAATGTTATGGGGCAAATATGATTTACAATTTGGCACTTTTTTAAATGGTAGCGTTTTTTCGAGCACCTCAAAAACCATCTAAAATGAGCTTATAGACAGTGTGGCATATATTATTCAGGAAAATATAAGCATGGAGATTGAAAGTGTTTTTTTGCATGGGAAATTTGATGAAACCACCTATATTACCTGTACATTACAACTTTCAATTGTTTTTATATATGTCAAAGATGGTAATGTGGTAGAACGTTTTGAGGGTTTTCATGATGTTTCATCTGGGCGCACAGCTGACGATTTGTTTAATTTTTTATTTCGTATGTGTGACACCTATAATTTTAGGCAAAAGTTAATTGCGCAAACCTATGATGGGGCTGCGGTCATGGCCGGCCATTTAAATGTTTACAAACTAAAATAAAGTCCATAGCTCCTCATGCACTCTTTACGCATTATCATGCCCATGCCCTAACTTTAGTATTGAGCAAAGCGTGCAACAACATAAAAATTGTCGCGCCTCCGGCCGGCTTTTCTGTGAGTATATTGTCTTTATGATTTATGACTTTAGCCTCCCCTGTTCTCCAATGCACGAGCCGTCACTGCATTGTGAAGAGTTTATTCCGAACTGAATTGATTTTTAAGTCTCATGAAAGTTTCTCACAGTGTTTTGTATAAAGATGCAAAAATTAAAACCAGAAAGCTCCATTTCATTTTACTCAAAGACTACTTTAGAGAGAGAAAGAGTGAGAGGGGGAGAGAATGTACTTTATTGTTATAAGAAAATATGATGAGAGGCAAGGGGTAAAGTGTTTTTCACCTGAACCTGGAGCATGTCATATGCACCTCTCCGGAATATTAATCATTATTCAGACTCCCACCCATGAGACCATGCTCGGTACTGATGATGGGGAAGTACCCCAAAACCGGTCAATCGGTTGGTCGTATCGACCAAACGAAATTAGTTTCAGCTTTTCATAGTGGAAAATAACTTGCGACGAATCTTCCAAATCGAAAACTTTGCGAAGGCGCCTGTTGGTTTTACTTCAACTCTCTGCGCGGCATCAGCTGGGTTAGTTGTTGTTTTTCCGTTGAGTATCTGCCACATGTACCTACAAAGTCGTAGGTCTACATGAAAGGCAAGGGGTAAGGTGTGTTTCACCTGAACCTCAAAATACAAAAATCAACAGGCGACCTTCTATCGTATGTCATCCATATTTGGACTAACGCAATCGGGAGTAATGGAGAATCAAAAGCTGTTGCGCTTGATATCTCTAAAGTGTTTGACCGTGTGTGACATGAGGATTTATTGGCCAAACTTCGATGCTATGGCTTGTCGGATAATTTCTGCGTATGAGTCTTCAGCTGCATGAAAGAACGTTTCCTGCAAGTGGCCGTCGGTGGATATCTCTCGAATACTTTCTCCATCAACGCTGGTGTTCCTCAGGGATCTATACTGTCTCCAACCCTCTTTTTATTGTATATCAACGTCTTATTCGAAAAAAACAAGAATCCAATGTATTGCTTTGCTGACGACAGCACACTTGTCATCATCGGCTACGGAGGCACATCTTCACCTGCAGCAGGAGGTTGCATATCTCACTGAGGATCCAGAATTAATTTCAAATTGGGATGAAAGTAACCAGGTTCAATTCAATGCTACAAAAACCCAGCCATCGGTTTTTTCCAAGAAGAGATAAATATCTCCGAACCAGATATATATTGTCAGGTCTGACAGTTCCGCTCTCTGCTTCGATAAGTTTGTTGGGGGTTAAAATGAACACCGATATATCTTGGCAGCATCATGTCGCTGAAATTGCAAGGGCTGCTTCTCGAAAGCTTGATACACTGTTCCAAACCAGAAAACTATGCACACCTAAGCAACTTTTGATGCTCTATAAAGCTCAGATCAGACCTTTTTCGGAGTATTGTTCTCATGTATGAAGCTTCGCCCCCAGACATACCCTGAAGATGCTGGAATACATCCAGAAAAGAGCCATCCCCCTGATTGGAGACGCCAACAACACGTGCAATCTTGATAGCCTGGAATATCGAAGAAACGTTGGAAAATGGACACTTTCACGGGAGGTGTTCAAGTGACACATTTGATTCCACCAAGAGCGATACATATCAGAAATACGCGACGGTCTGTGGCTGCTCATCGTTTTGAGGTTCTACTCAGTACACTTTGAACTTTACTGTTTGAGAACGTTTTCATTTGGAGAACTGCGTTTACGTGGAATAAACTTCCTGAGAAAGTTTTTCCAAATCGATTTATTCTCCAGCGATTCAAATCCAATGTGAATCGCTATTTTAGCACAGGCATCCCTCTGAAGGCGCCTCGAAGATTTACCCGTACTGCTTGTGTTTTGACCTAAAACAATTGGATTGTTATCTTTGATGTTGAATAATCTTTTCCGTGCCACAAGATGGTGGTACCATCAGCAAAAAGGGTTAATTTGCCTTGAACGTTAAGAAGTGGCAGATCTTTCAAGTATAACAAAAAAAGTGACTGGTCCCAAAACTGACCCTTGTGGAACGCCGCAATATGTACCTGTATTCTGATGATTCTTGTCCGTTGAACACTTTTTATATGCGGTTCTCTGAGTAGGACTGGGACCAATTGAGGATACATCCTCTGAATACATAATATTCAAGTTTTTGCAACAATATTCTGTGATGCACGCAGTCAAAGGCTTTTATTAAGTCACAGAATGCTGCTGCGACTATTCTTCTATTGTTTGTTGGACCATATAGGTGTTCCAAAAGTTTGAACATCATTGCTACTTCTATTGCTTCGAAAACCGAATTGATTTTGATTAAATAGGTTGTAGTGTTCCATGAAGGCCATGAGGCGAATCTTTACAAGTTTTTCGATTATTTTTGATAGGGTCGTGAGCAATGATATTGGGCGATAATTTGATAGACAATGAAATTCAAAACCAGTAACAGTACTGTGCTAAAAAGTAAATGTTGCATCTGGCATTGAATATTACAATTATCATTATCGATTAACTTTATTTTTCAGATATAAGGATCAAGTGCGAAAAGCAAAAGACATTTTGACAGACCAACCGCTGCAGGGGTTGGAAAAGGCAGTTTGGTGGGTTGAATATGTAATCAGACACCAGGGAGCCAAACATCTCCGCAGTCCTGCAGCCGATATGACATTCTTTGAATACTTCATGGTAGATGTTGCCATTTTCCTAATGTGCTGCATACTAGCAATCTCATACGTGGTAGTCAATATAACGAAATTGATAATGTCGACGAGAATACAGTTGAAGAGAAAAGTCAGTTGAATAATTTTGAAAAATTTCTCAGATAACTGAAATGAGATCTCCACAGTATAGCTTTAATTTAATAATATAACGAAATACTACCTCCTTGTATGAAGGTTGCGCCAATGTTTTTTCATTTGAGTTACATTTTTTATTATACGAAGTTTTGTTGATTTATTTTTTATTCCACCTCAAAAATGACGCAACCGTGGATCTTTATACTCGATCGCAAACTTCAAATATATACAGAAGATGAAGATGACATCTATGGGCTCATAAATAACCTCAAACCATGAAAATCAAAGATTAACCGAGCTCAAAAAGGCGGTCAGTCGTAATCAATCTTTGATTTTCATGATAATATCGGCAGTTTTCTGCTGATATTCTCATTTTGCTGCACCTAAAATATTTTCCTGAAGTTCTATTTATTACTCCAATTACATAATCATTATGGGAGAATTTGGAAACACTTTTGTTTTCGAAATTGTGAGAGAAGTTCAAAAAACAGATTGGATTGGCAACCATCCAACATTTTGAATCTGTCAAAAACATTACTTTTTTACAATAAAAAAAAATGCTTTGTGTTGAGAAAAAAAGGAAAATTATCTAGCAGAATGTATTTTTTGCCAACACTGCATTCGCTCTTATTAATTCTTCTATTTGTACAAGATATAGAAATATGAATTTCACTAGCTCGAACTTCCATTGTCTGATATGATTCTAATATGATTTGTAATCTCTAAAAAAACAAATAAGATTGTAATGAATAACTGAAGATATCAATTTTATCAAGCAATAAAACGTGAATTGCAATTACAATACAATGAAAATAAGAAAAGGACCTGGAAGATAGAACGTAAATACCTATAAAAGTAATCATAGACTTACTAGGATGCCGTGTACGAAACTGCTATTTTCAACTGAAGGACGAATTCTTTCCATAGTATGGAACCATGGAAATACAGAACTAGTCACCTATCTGAAGAACATCAATAGCGTAAGACCTTCCATCAACTTCATAATAAAGAAATAAGTCCACAACAAATTGCCATTCTCAGACGTATTGGTGAAAAGGACCGACACTAAGGGGAAAACTTCTGTTTACCAAAAATCCACTCACACGGGGCAATATCTGAATCACGAATCCACCTATCACGACTCTAGTAGACCGTCCTTTGGGCTCTGTAATACGGACAAAGGTCCCGAGAAAAAACTAAGCACCAATAAAAAAAGATCTTCAATTGAATGGCTACTGCAGAGTCATGGTAGAACAGACTTTGGTTAGAAGACAGTAAGAGCCTCACAAGGAAGAGAAGCCATCACAATCAGTGTTGTGACGGCTTCTACGTCAGAAGAATTGGGTCCAAGTACAACATCAGAACCTGCCTCACGAAAACCAGGCCACCAAACGCGGACTGCGATTCCAAGAATTGCATTCAACCGGATACCCTGTGAGTTCCACAAGAAAAACACACAGCAAATTGGGAATAGCAGAGCATGTTTGGACTCATCAAGATAACATCAAGTGGTCCCAAGTTAAGATCATCTACAGAGAGGAACACTATTTCAAGAAGAAGTTCAAAGAAGCTGCATATGTGAACCAATAGACCATAGAAAAGGAACAGGCGATAGGATAATAACCAATGAATAGTTATCTCTCGGAGAAATAGTCCAGTCACCTGAAGACGATTGTGATTAATCAAAACGTCATGAAGTAACTTGGTTTGAAAACTTTTTAATTTTAAAATTTTTTATTTTTGTTTTAATTGTTCAATTTTTAATTTTCTGTTCATTTTTCTTTTATGGAAATTGGTTTTATTTAAGCCTACGTGCTTCTCTACCCAAGCTTTATTCTCTGAGGCTCATATTTTCAATATTCGACAGCTCTTCCATTACAGCACTATAACTATATATTATAAAAACTTATGCTTCTGACCATCAATTTATTCTACGATACCCGTAAAAAAACAACCATATTGTTCCACAGAGGCATAGGTCGATTGACCAGCGCTCTCCAAATCATTTAGCGCCGAAATTATTCAATACAGTTCCGGAGTTAATTCGTAACATAAATGTGATTCACTTATTCAAAAAGTCCTTGAAACGGTTCATTTTTGTCCAAACAAGGCAAAAAATTGCTCATTTCATTGAAAATAGGGATTTTTAGAACTTTTGTGATTTAACTGCGAAATGTCCAATATTTATTCCTTTTTTGAATTAAAAGAGTTTTATTATAATGTTATATTTTAGTGTAATGACCAGATTTTTAAATTTTTGACTTTCAATTTAATTTGTTACTCAAAACAAGTGATTCACTTATTGAGTGTCAACGGTATTTGTTTGCAATTCTGTGTTATCATTATATCTGTAATATTTTGTTATGCAAATAAATATTTTTTTTTTCGCCGTAGTGTGCGCTGGTCAGACCCTATCTCCCGAAGCCCCGATACATTCGGGAGGGCGCGCCAGTATTATCAACCAATGACCACTCCCACACCGTGGGGTAAGTGATCATTGGGTTCGAGAATCATGTGCCCTGAGCAAGCGCAGTGAGCCAAGAATGACAGCCTTCTGCATCTGTGCGGCTGAGATTTTTGCCTTAGTGCGGCAAGCCGGTATGATTTTAAGATTCGAGAGTAGAGAGGACATCATTCCACCAAGGGCTCCAATAATCAGAACAACCATTTTTTATCCTTATTGTAGCATCCCTGATGATGATAATAAAGATTATCGAAAGCTTGGAATCTGTGTTATTGATTTGTAGACAAAATGAAATTAAATCCGTATTTGCCTAGCTATTGTTTCATTCACATGGTATATGCGTTTTCATCTATGTTCAACTTCAGTGGCTTGATTTCATGTTCATTTGTTTATTCATAATGATATTTCTACAACTTTCAATGTTTTATGTAAAACCGCCACCCTATTCAAATATTGTAGACAAATCCTTTATGACGAAATGTCGTAAAAGAATATTCATGAATACAATTACTTGGTCTGAAGGATAATAACTGCCATTACGATAGTTAAAGAAAAATATAATTTCATTCAAAAAGATCAGGGTCGGTCACACGGTTTTTCGAAATCGATAATTTTTCAAAATAGTAAGCGTTGAATTCAATTTATGATTGTTGAATTTTGGCGGCATCATGAAGGTTATGTTTCGTTCAGGCTAGACTAAACAAATGTATCCTGTTTCGGCCATATCTGAATAGGTGGGCCCGAAAATTTATTTAAAATAAAAACTGACCAATGACTTCGATGAAAAGAAGGACATAGGTCTTGAGTAGGAAGGGTTATGGAAAAATTCGGGAATATTAACCAGAGATCACAACACTCAGGGAACAGGGGACAGTAAAAGGGTTGAGTGTTAGGAAAAGTTTTTCGGACTTGGGAATACTAATTAGGTGGTTAATTGGGACAGTGGCTATCGGACAGTTGCGAAAAAGGGTCGCGAAACGGTCGCGAAAGTCAGTAGCGGAAGAGGGTTGCGACAAGGGACTTTCCGAAAAGTGATTTTGCGATAGTGGTATTACGGGAAATTGCGGTCAGTGAGTTAATTGTTGTTTTATTTGGTGACATAGCAATTAGTACACACGGGTTTGAAGCTAAAAAAATAGTACGGCGTTCAGGCAAGTTCACTTCAGAATGTCCGCCAATTTCGAATGAGGTAATTAAGGTTTTTGGTTTCTTTGAGAATCAGCTATTTTAGACGTGCTTTCTTGTTGGATTTTGATCTTACCTTTCGAACATCTTTGCTTATCGTTTTTGTTTTACTCTCATGTTATGTTTTTACACGGTATATGTTATGGTCTCTAAACATACCCGTTAATTCTTTTTATTTGTTTTGTAATATGAGCCCAATATGAAGTTTATTGTTGTTTTCAGTGGCTCACTATTCCAGGAACAATCAGAATAAAATCGAGTTCAATGTTTTCAGAAAACCTAGCTATACAGACATCACCATCCCAAGCGATTCTTTCCATCCAGAAAGTCATAAATTAGCAGCCTACAACTCAATGTTGCATAGAGCATTCTCACTGCCTTTGTCTGCAGACAATCTAGCTAGGGAAATTGATACAATTACACAGATTTTATGTATCACTCGACTCCTCCATGCCATGCCATGCTAAAAAAAATAGGGGCGGTAGTTGCTGACCGCAGGGGGGTGAAGTTTCGGGTGTGATTTCGTTATCAGAATTAGTCTCTCTAGGAATGAAAATGACGTATTCTTTGAAATTTTCGATTACACTTCCGTTTCTGACTTACAGGAGTCAGGTTTTCGTTGGAACGCCCTGTATGAAATGAACTGTGAGAACTGTGACGAAAAGTATATTGGTCAGACAATGTTATTGGGGTTCTTTCACGACCGATACGTTTGGCCACATCTAAGTGTCTAGGTACCTCAAAAATGGTGATAGACATGGACATACTACACCGATAGTGATATTCACTCTTTCTGCCCACAAAAAAGATCCATATAAAGGACCGTCAGAAGATCAAGTGCAATACTGCCGTCCTGTTGGACAACTACCTCACTCAGTTCGAAGGAGAAGAAAGGACTGTGGGAATCCCAGAAGACCAAAATTCACCCAGTCAGGAAACATTCCATTGGAACAGCAGACAAAACGCCCATCAAAACCTCACTCTGTCAAAGCACGACGCCGACGTAGATGGCACGTTATTGTCGAATTAACTTTTTGGTTGAAGTAGAGAACCGAAAGACTCGAAAATGTAGTAAAATGCACAATGTTGTAGTCAATAAGTAAGTGTTCAATTTACTCAGCAACAGGTCTCAGCAAATCGACCGCGTGACCTAAAACATCAAGACCCGTAGCGCTACCAACTTCAGGACAAACTTCAGGATAAGTTGTGAGCCTCGCAACCTTTGGTCGGGACCTGTTGTCTTCTGGATTATTCTCATTTGCTATTCCGCGCGATTTTTCGTGCTCCACTGTTCAATGCTTCTTTGGGACTGCCCATCTTCCCTAGACGACTTCTTTTTCGGAACCTTTGTCTGGAAAGCCATAACTTACTCAAGAAACACGCAACACGTGTTGCCGTGTATGGCAAAACACGTGTTGCGTTTCCGTAAAACTGTGAAAATTTCACAATAAAGTACTTCTTGAATGGGAATTTGTCTGGGAGAACACTTGTTTTTCGGAGTTTTTCTCGTC